TAAACCCCTAAACCCCATAAACCCAAAGTAGTTAGCGCCTCAGAGAGACCACAACTGAGAACCCCCCGGAGGCTTTCGACGAGTTGAGCAAAGGCGCTTGCGTCTGGGACGACGAGGCCTGCTGCCTCTCTGTGTACCTTAGTTGCTGAGTTCATAAGCCACAAAAAGGTTTAGGGTTTAGGGTTTAGGGTACACTTTCATTTTTATAGTGGGTAATGGTATTGTTAAGCCAAAAAGTTGCTGAGTTCATAAGCCAGAAAACCCTTACCCTCTAAGGACTCATATTTTAAGGCTTTTGGGCCCAAAGACACTATTATATAAGGCTTTTGGGCGGTTTTGATGCTAAGAGAAAAAGTGTACACTTTCAGTTTTATAGTGGGTAATATTAACCCAAAAAGTGTAAAGTGTATCCACTCAGCTTCTAAGCGACTGATTGTGTAGGAACTGAGTCACCCGATGCCCAAGGTCCAGAGGAATGTCATGCTTCTGCAGGTATCGGCGCAAGAGCCTGAACCTGGGATAGGCTCCATATACAAAGTATTAGTAGATCCCAACCATTCAGCAAGTAACAACGATCCCTACGATTGAGCAAGAGACTGCGTGAGCTCGTCCTGTCGCAGCTTCCGGAGCCCTGCAATCAACTCTCCCATGGTGCTGATTAGGACAGCTGCGGTGATGAGGGCCGTGAAGGCAATGACACTGGCGAGGATCATTTCAATGGTATTTGTCGGTTGCCAAGGGCTCTCGCCCACACCCAGTTGACAGAAGGACCACAGAACGCATGTCAGATACTGGAAAAGCGAATCGCGGTAACGCAAATCGCTGGATGCCACCCAGTTCTCGGTGTGTAGCCAAGTCACCCCAAACCAACCACAGGCTATCCAGTGGACAAGCATCAGAAGTTGACCCAGACTCACAAAGAACTTCAGATAGAGGCTGGCACGCTGCGAGTGGATGACGTCCTGCGACACTGGGAAGGGGCAGAAGGGCATCTTGCAATAGACTAGGGTAGGCATGCATACACTATTGCACTCAATCCCAGAGGCTCCATATATACTCCCATTATGGGAATTAAGTCCCCAACAGACCATACTTACTACGGCTTCAGGGACCTAATTCCATAATGGTAGTATAGAAGGAGCCTCTGGGAATGATGTACTATAAGGATACCTCAGGGCTTCAGAGATCCTTCACTTGATCACATTCCAAAGGCTCCAAATAGACTGCCGTTAGGCTCCGAATAGACTGCGGTTATGGAGTTAGATCCCGCAAAAACCATCCTTATTATGGATTTAATAAAGAGCCTCTAGGTTTTGTTCCAAGAATATGCCCCAAAACCCTATTGTGACGTTCTTGCCCCTGTACAAACCTACAAAAGACCCCCTATCTATAGAACCCGTAGAGGACCGCATAGAATCCCACAGAATAACCCCCAAAAGGAACCCTATTCTAATCATAAAGCCTTAAAACCCTAAAGCCCTAAGATAAACCCTCAATCCCGAAGCCTACCCTCAACCGTAGAACTCAAAGATGTCATCGATTGGGGGTAGCCATCGCAGGCCTTCGAACCTGCAGAGCACAACACCACACGCCTACTTCACACTAGAAACCCGAACAATTCGGAATCATGTATCGGTCTTAGTAGCTGGATTCCAGCTAGACTCTAGAGTTTTGGAATACTTTCAAGATTGAATATCTCGTTATTTCTGGACCCCAAGAGCCATTTCGGCTTCTATATTACAGGGGGGGGTCCTGCAGTGCGGTAAATCCGCGTCGCAGCTTGAGTGCTCGCGCGACGCGAACTAGCCGAAGAAGACGAAACATACGAACGGTGCGGCTCAGCTCCGTCGGCTCGGTGGCACCTAGGGTTTCGGGGTTAGGGTTTAGGGTTTAGGGTTTAGGGTTTAGGATTATGAGTGGTCGGTCTCACTGCAAATGCATAATTACACGTGTCCTCACACCAAATTTGCTGCTACCACTGCTTGCTATCTGCCACGTGACTTTCTGCTGACTGCTTACTGCTTACTACTGCCGTGTACTAGGTACTGCTTACTACTTACCCGACTTACACTCCGAATACCACTTACACTGAGACCACCTATACTACTTACACTACTTATACTAGTCATATCGCTTATACTACTTATACTACTTGTACTGCTTCTTCTTCTTCTTCTTACTACTACTACTACTACTACTACTACTACTACTACTACTACCACCATCACTACTCTGATTTGTATGTTATTCTTATGTTTATTCTTTCGTCCCCTTCTCCTTCTCCTGCTACTGCTCCTGCTCCTGCACCCTCACCTGCATTTGCACCTGCTGCTGCCGCTGCTGCTGCTTCTGCTACTCTGCTACTGCTACTGCTACTGCTACTGCTGCCACAACAATAACAACTCTGCTACTACTACTACTACTACTACTACTACTGCTGCTACTACTGCTACTACTACTACTACTACTACTACCACTACTACCACCACTACCACTAATACTACTACTACTACTACTACTACTACTACTACTACTACTACTACTACTTCTACTACTACTACTCCTGCTACTACTGCTGCTACGGCTACCGCGACCGCCACAGCTCCTGCTCCTGCTCCA